CCAGCTCTTCTGAAGATGAGATAATAAATGAATCATCACAGACAGTGGAACAATGAGCCCTATATTATGTATGCAGCTTGAATCAACACAATTACCCTGGGGGGTGGGGGGAAGGAAAAAGTACAGGCAGTTGTGCAGGAAGTTTCAGCAGTTATAGTCTGAAAAGGGGTATGAAAGTCAACATATAGAGTGTTCCCACCATTTACAGCTACACCTTCCTGCGTACATATCTGACACCTTGTTATCTATCTGCTGGAAAGGACAGAAAGCCTGGGCAGTGACCAGCAGTGTGTGCCAAGACATCTCCCCTCATCTCCAACTTGAACAGTGCAGAGAGTATGTCCACAACACCCTGCAGGAGTTGGCTATCTCCTAACAGCCTGGTATCATTTCAGTCTCACTGTGTTTGCCCTTTAATACAGCTATTTCATTCCTGCCCTTTATGCTGCCTCCCAGCTCATGAACAAGCGACAATACACAACAGCGAAGCCTGTACTCCCTCCACACCCTTTTTTTTTAAAGGAAAAGTGCTCTACATTGCTAATTGCAGGAACTGGAAGACAACTGCCCCTTGGAAATTCAAGTGTATATGTCCTGCTCTGGCTCCCATCACTGCAACTGACTTATATCCACATCTGAGGGAGAATATAGAATAGTTCAAAAAATGTAGAAACAAAGATAGTTCAGGTACATAGTAAGAATTTTTTTGCCGTTCCTTCACTTCATCATAGTTTGCAAGATTATCTGAGGCTAACGCATTCCAGATTACTTCAGGCTTTCCTCTTAGGATATTGGACCTATACCTGTAATTAACTGCTAATGTTGCAAACCTGCCCAGGAGGTAAACAGGCACACTTACGATACAATCCAAGCAGTAAAGCAAAGCAACGCTACCACACTGCTGTCTCTCCTCCCAATTTCATGCTTCATGCCTTATTGACTGTCAATTTAAGAATATAATACAGTTCAGAAAACGAGGATTAGTCTCAATTTACTTTTATTACCAAATATTTGTGTTGCTGCTGTAGTCTACAGCTGTTGTATCTGCACTCCCACCTGAAGATCACTGTACTTCAGGGACTTCCTCAGACAGTGGTTCTTCAAATACAACCATGCAACCGGCCAGATCTGTCAATGCACTGTGTCAGGGATGGGAGCTGGTTGAACACTCACTAAACCTCTTGGCCTCATGGACCAAGAACACCACAGGAAACATTGCAGTATGTGGCACTTGTCTCTTCAGCACAGGTAACAGCCTGCCTCAAGAAACAATGCCACTCTGAACAAGATTAAATTCACAGCTCTGCTATTGTCCACACCAGACTCTCGGAGCTGGTCCAGCCACTCCGTAGATGTGAACAATGTGAGACTAAACAAGTCAAGCAGTCCTTCAGCCTTGGAACAGAGTATACAGTCCAAGGGAAGAGCACTGATTTGATGATCCTGGCCCCATGCAGAGCCTAAGCTCTTCCTTTCCATCTGTTGTCTTCACCTCCTGTTTTCATGATGTCCTAGGAGGAAACAGTGGCATGAAGCAAAGTCACACAAGACTCCTCAATGGTCAGTATAATTTTGTTTCTATTTGAACATCTGTAAGTGGAGAAACACTTTCAATAAGATGAACATGAAAACATTAGGAAGAGGCCACATAAGACAGGCTTTCAGGAAAGGTCAGTTTGAGCAGCTTGGCCCTGAGGGTAAGAAAACATGCACCTTGGATGGCACGTGTCACCCCATCTGCTTCATCAGGCACCCCAAGGGCCTGGCTCCTTCCCCAAAGGAAGGGAGAGTCTGCTATATCCAATGCAAACAAAACAGTAAGGAAAAATACTGTATCTATCACTGCAACCCAAGAACTGCATAATTTTATAAACGTTTAAATCATATTGCAATGGTACTATGACTATGAGGTGCAGCTGAAAATGTTCTTCTTCCCTAACCATCAGATTAAGCCACTGAGACCTTTAATTTCAAATGAAGTAACACAGCCTGGGTTAGATATATCAAGGCACTGATTTCAGTCAATGACAACTTTAAATTTTAATATAGGTTACATAAAGCAACTTCAGTTCTCAAGAACAGATATACTGTGCATCACAAACTTTTCATCTTCCAGGTGCTTCATTTTTTAATTCAGTTACTGGACAATACTGCTTTTTAAAACTTCAGAGGGCATCTGAGCATCTGCATGCCTAAAGAAGGATAGACAGCTTTACCTCAGTTATGAACACATATGAGTGCAAGATCTCACCACCTCTACTTGAAAGTAGCTTCATAAAGGAAAAGCACAGTATTTCCCTTTGATTTCAAAGGGTAAAAGGCTAGTTCACAGTTACAAAAAGCTAAAATATCTCCTCCTACAACATCTACTGTCATATGCTGCATCCACTTGCACACTGTGATAAGCAGATAATATGCTTATCCTCAATATGTAATATACAAAGTAAAATAATAAACTGCACAAAAATTAATGAAATAATCTTTTCCTCCTCCAAACAAAACATTACTTCCTGAAAAAGCATGCTGTGTACTTATATTTCTCTCAAGACCGGCTGGATACCATACATTTCAATATTTCTAACCCTAACCTTTTATTCTTAAACCAAGTATTTCTTCACTGCTGTGCATGTCCACTACTCCATCTCCTACTTACTATAAAGAAAAGATTAATTTTCCTTTAGTTCTACTCCCTTCCAGTTTGTGCAAATGCTTTCCAGAGACAAAGGGGGTTCATCCCACTCTTTCTGCACAGAGTACAGTGCATCTTTAATCCAATGTTATTCACTCCCCACCACCACCTACTGCCCTATGGTTCACCTCAACTGAAGAATATGAAACACCGAGGAGATGCCAAAATGCAAGCTTCATCATGAGGCCAAGAAATGCAGAACCAAAGTTTCTATGCTAGCCCAATGGTGCTTCTCCTGACACTAGTTTACTTCAAGCTCTTCTACGCTATAAACACATAACACTGAATTTATGTCCTACCCATCAAAAGGCTTTGGAAAACTCTGTCTTTTCTAAAGCAACAGGTAGCACTTCAGCAGTTGTCACAATTTCAACAGTACTTTTACAGTGAATGAAACTCTATTCTGGATACAGAACTTTTAACCCAATTCTCCAAATACCATCAGAAGCACCAGTACCTTCCTGATTTCACAGTGCTGGCTGAAGCAGCAGCAAGGTAAAACTGATAAAACTTTAGGCACTGCCTCTCTTCCTACTCAGAGAGCCTATAGGCAAGAATGAAATTACTGCAAACAGTGTTGAATTCATGCTGTAGCTTTTTAGGACAGCTACAGGCCACAGAAAGTTGTTGTTTTAAAACTGCACTTATGAAAAAAATGTGGCTCAAGGAAAGAGCTTGAGGTTAAACAAATAAATAAATCAGTTGCATTCACTAAGTCAGCAGTATGAGGTCTGATAAAGACATCATCACAGTTGCTTCTCTCAGTTACTACCCTGAAAGTGCAAAGCTGAAATTCACTTCACTACCCAGGAATCCTACATCATGTACACAAGGCAGTTTTATTAACACAAATGGCTAACTAGTAAGTTTTAGTAATACTGAATAGCTTCTTTTTTATAATGAGCAGCTGCTCTAGAGAAAATCTCAGCAGAGTGAAGTAACTTCAGCTGTGTACGCTGGAGAAAGCAACATATATTACTTGGTTTCACACAAATATATCAGACATAAATGTATTTAAATAGAACATGAATCTGCAGTAGATACATTTCTGATAAAACTCAAGAAAATCAGTGCATAATTTTAGCCTGCGCAGGGTTGGTGTTTTTTTTTTAACAGTCCAAAACAGAGAGTGGAAAAAATATTAGTATGACTGATTAAAGTTCACAAAATGCTAACCACAACCAGTATTCTTTTAATCTCAAGTAGGCAAATATTTTGATTTTGTAAGGAACTGGTAAGTGTGCCTGCAAGTGAACAGTATATGTTCCAAGGCTAAGGAGCTGCACAAATGTATTAATCCAATAATAAGTATAGAGGGCACACAGGCTATCTGCTGAGCCATGCATGAGCCAATAACACTGGCTGTCAAGACTCCCCTATCAAATGATAATGAAAAGCACCCAGTAAGAGACAGTGAAAATCAATTAACTGGGGAAATGGCAAGAGAAATAAAATATGGCGGTTGAACATTTCTCTATTCAGACATACAAAATGAAGCTTTCTTCATGTCTAAAAAGCAGAAATGTCAGGATAAACAAATAAAAAATACAATATTCTTTTAAAAATCAGGTTAACTCTGCAATCTGTAAAGAAACATCTAGGTTAACCTTTCCCAGAACACGGACATTCTGCTGTTATTTTAAACTTATTGTCTGCCCCAGGGACAGTCGATCTGCAGGCCTCCCCGCTGGCTGCCTGCCTCCGTCCTCATGGCTGCATTAACACAACACAATGGCTCCTATAACAGATTGTATAGGTACATCCCCAATGAAGGTACCAAGGGTAAAAACTGGTCTTTAAAAATATGCTGCACCCTTCTGCAAGAAACCACTTTTACCACTGGAGGAGTCCTTGCAAGCGCCTTGTTTCCCATTTCCCTTTTCTGCTCTCTGTGCCTTTTCCAACTTCTCACAAGTAGCCACAGCCCTGGGAATGACACTTTAGAACAACAGAAGAAATCTCCAAATGAAACACCCCAGATATGGTTCTTCATAAATGGACTAATTCAGGACGTAGTGAAATGGAAGGTACCACTTTGGAAACATGGAGATGGCCAAAAGAAGCAAGCTTTTCCCCTTTTCCATTCTAGATGCTCTTCCAGGTAATACATTTACTTGCCCCTTCATAGTGAAAGCATTTTTACCCTATTCCCTACATTTGAGTCGGTAAATCCTGCTAATGTTCCAGATATGCTGCAGGCAGAAAAACAAATAAACTTCTTCCAAAGCCTGCAGTTTGGATATGTTTGCAAAGACTGTGGCAAAAACTACTGTCCTTTTAGGACATGTCCGTGTGAGTAGCAGCATCTTACCTCTCAGTACTGACTTGAGGTTCAGCTTGGCTTGTCTGTGCAGGTCCTCCACACAAGGTGGTCTTGAGGAGGGTAGGAAGACATTTTCCTGCTGGTGCCATGGAGCAGTATAGTGCACAGACCATCTACTCTCTTCATCTAGGTTGGAAACAGCTGCAGAGAGACACAATAATAAGAAAATTAAATGTTACTGCAGATAACTCTATTATGAAACCCCACATGTAAGTTCGCCGCACATCATCTAAAAATGATGTTTGCCACTGCAGACCCACCAAAACGCTCTCTAGAACCTCACTTCCCTAACAGTTATAAAACAAACTTCCTCTAATTTCTACTCTAAAATGATGTTCTGCAGGAAACAGTTTTCCCTCTTCCCATGTGTACACTTGCTATTTTATTTACTCTGAACTTGCAACTCTGTTTTCCTCCCTCTACCTCTCAGTCTTCACTAAGGACATCAGTTTTCCCATCCCCTGATCATGGCTTGCTCTGTGAAGTGCAAAATAGCTTACTCTTGTTCAAAGGTGACCCTGGGAATGTGACAGTCGTCATGAGAGATTACAACGGGTTCATTTGTATTGGGAAACAACCTTGTCTGACCTCATGCTTGCTCAAACCAGGCAAGAAGATTCCAGTGAAGCAAATAGATTAGCTACCTTCCTTTGTCATGAGCGGAAAGCAGATTTGAACAAAAGCAACTCCATGGACAAATACTGCTCAGAGCACAACGGCACTGAAGAGGGATGTCTCTGGCCACCTCTTCGCAGCCAATACACGCACGAAAATAAAATACAGACCTTGTTCAAGCTCAAAGTTCCCTACAGACAGTCTAGCAATGAATCAGCCAAAGCACATATTGCAGAGATTTGTTTATCATTTATGCTTCCTGAGAGACTGCCACTGCCTTTTGTTTCAAGTTTATCATCAATAAAAACTTCTATAGTTGAATAGCCTTATCCCTCCACCCTGCTGTAAACAGAAAAAGGGCAGTTGGGGGTCATATTTTATGATCCCCCAGGCATCCTCTGGCCTTCAGCCAGTATGCTGCACACATCCTTGCTTTTTAGCTCTCCAAAGCAGAAAAAGCTGCTACAGCTGTGCTACCTCCCAAGCACCTGCCCTGCTGCCGCAGCCCTGCTATCCCGGGCCTCTCTGTCAGCTCTGCATCTTCCCTTCACTTTCTTCGCTGCTGCGCTGCCTGTAGCATCACTTTATGAAGTTTGTCTGATGCCCCTGTGGTAGCAGAAGACATATGTAAAACTGGGAAGCAAAACAGAGGCAACAGCCTCCTGACATCTGAAAAATTACTCTTTCCTTAACATCACTGTGCATCTGCTGGGATCATTTCAGATGGAAATAACTGGCATTTTTTGAAGAAAATAAGCTATGCGTCTCACTTCAAAACCTATCTACAGCCTAATGCTCAACGCCTGCTTTTTCCTAAAAGGACTTGGGATAGTGGGAAGGTCCTTATCTACCTCTCCTCACATTTTTTAGATTAGTTTCAGACCTCGAAAAAGTTTTTTAAAGACTTTCAGCGTCCTCATCTCTGAGTCTTGGTGCTGTATCCCATCCCCTCTCATAGACATACTGGCTGCAACAAGGCAGATGCTCATTCAGTCTGTGCCCACTTTTCCTGTTCTTGCTAACCAGAGGTCAAACCTAAATCACGACAACCGGACAAGTCACCACCTACCTGGTTACAGCATCAATCACCCCGACCTAACAGAAAAAGTGACAGGTCACTGAAAGGCACCCTCACCATGCCCTGACTGAGCAGGTGGGTGGGGAGGAGAGTAAGGCTGGAGGAGGAATAGGAGGGAAACATCAGCCGCCAAGCCCACCGTCTGGCTGCAGTCCCGCCACACCAAAATTAGGGTTTACTGCTCATGAGAGCAACACCGGTCAGCAAAACTACTCAACGGAAGTGCTGTGCACATTTGCCAACTAATCCCTCTAGCGTGATTTGTCTGTCCTTCATGACTTAAATAAAGAATCGTGACTTTGAAAGCCACTCTGAAACTAGAACATCTTTAAAAAACAAACTTCTTCTCAGAACAAGCTTTATGTAGATACCTCACGGGCATCTGCACAAGCAGAGACAGATGTCTGACAAACCATGAGGACACACAGCCCAACACCTGGGCACGACTGACGCGACACCGGCACACCCTGTCTTGTCACCGATTTCCTCAATTCACACTGAGAACTTTGGCTCCTTCAATATCACCGTGACAAAGCATTTCCAAAGCAACAGTGTCCTAACGCAGAGGTCCTAAAGCCCCTCACAAGGCTGCCTCCACACGCTCCACAATGATCAACGAAGAAGAGAGAAACTTAAATGAGGTTGCAGGAAGCAGGAGCGAAGCCGAAGGGAACCACACTTTCCTGCAGAACTGGGCTGCCTCCCGAAAAGATAGGAAGCACATGCAGCTACTTACTCTTTCTCTTGAAAAGTTTCATGAGAGATTTAAGCTTTATGTTGATGAAAACCACCATTTTCAAGGTGTGGAATTGCGATCCTGGACTTGAAGTCCCGTAGAAAGGAGCTGCAGAGAGGTGACTCCCAGATTGATCCTGTTCAAACTCCACACATCAAATTTCTCTTCTCCAGGCTTCTCCCCTCCGCCTTTCTTTCCTGAAATCACTTTAAATCTGTCTAGACCTTTCTGATGGACGAAATAATTTACAATTCTTTAACCTGAATTCTTGTCCTCACATGTAACCTTGCGTGCTGAAAACAGCCAGTTTTAACAAGCAAAACAGGAGAAAGAAAAAAAAATCCAGTTGTTATTCACGGTTTGCGCAGGACCAGATATCGGGCTTTCTTGCCGTGCACGCAGTTACTCTGCTCTTGCTCTCCTTCTTCCCTCCGCTCTCCAAGTTCGGCTACTACAGAAAGTCCCGAGCTGGCAGGTGCTTGCACTGCTTCCCATCGCTCCAGCCGGCTCTGCCGCAGGAGCAGCAGGAGACGCCGGTACCTTCCCAGCCGCCGCCCTCCTCCCGCCGCACCTCCCCGGTGCCCGCCGGCGGCGGGGGGGCCGGGCAGCCCCGGCCTCCTTCCAGTTGCAAATGAGTGTGTCGTATTTTCGTGCAAATCAGGACGCCCTGCTTTCCCACCGCTCCCAATCTAACTCCTTCTCCCTCCCCCTCCCGCCTCCCCCTTTTTTATTTTCACCCCCTCGCTCCCACTTTATTAAGGATCAAGAGCGCGCCTTAGCTGGCTGCAACACAGAGTGTCGGTTCTGCATTGCCTCCCTTTCCAGCCCACTGCTCCCCCCACAGTCACTGTCATTGCCTGGGACATCAGCCCGCTAATTTTACATATTGAATTTCATTCAGTTACCTCCTAATTTATTCTTATTAGCGTCATCTCAGACCAAATACATGGAAAACAAAATCGAGTTATTTCTGGCTAATAGAGGATCTGTTATTCATCAAACGAAATTTGTGCAGGGAGATGAAATAGCCCAGCTTTTTGAGATGCACATTATATCCTCATGTCTTAAAAAATGTATCTCTACAGAGGCCTACAGCCATGCTTCCTAGGAATGAACTGCAATTTTGCAGAAGTTAAAGGGAAAATTCTAAGCACCAAATGAATGTGCTCAGCAGGGCATGCCCTTCGAACAATGTTCAGGCTCAAGAAGCAAGCCTTCCCTCACAAAGCAAGCTTAGGAAACCCCCTCGGGTTAACAATGAGAAGGATTTTTTTCCTCAGGAAAAGAAAAATGCCAGCAGTGGGGGGCTCAGGCTGACCCCAAAGCTGCAGCAGGATCTGGCCTCTGGAGCACAGCATGTGAAAAGCAGATGCTCCACAGGAACTTCTAAGTTTCACCAAACAGTTGAGACTCAGTAGTGTGCAGAACAGACTGTAAATGAAGTCTGTTCATCATTGTCTGAACATACTATTATCAACATTGTATCAGTATTTTCCAAATCCAGAGATTTTACAATTACAACATGGGTTTGACATCAAAACTGCCATTAGCACCAGGTCTCTCCAGCAGCTGCTCATCCAAGACACATTTTGAGTGGCTCACCTCTGCCAAAGGGACAGGAGACCACAGTGCCATGGAAGCAATGGCAGGGAAAGCACCTCTGCTTTTTTTGCATTGATTTCCATCAAGCACCTTACATAAAAAAATTACTCTGGCATCAAACTCGGATATCAAGATAACTATTTAGTGCTTGTTTTGAATCAAATACACAATAATGCTCCTGTTATAAATTTGCCATTACCCAAACATCATTAAACTGGCTTTAAATGCATGCTTGCTGGACACACTCTGAAAGTGAGTGCAGAGTGACTCCATTTCTAACGCCAGCAACACTGCCATCCAAGAGGAAACCAAGAAGGTGCTAACTCCTTTTCTAGGGTGGTGTCAATGTGTTTTAGGATGCAGGAAGTGCCTTTTCCTACACGTGCCTCTTCCTTAGCATGTAAGAAATGGAGCACTTGCACAGGGGAAGGAGACAGTTTCAAGCTAGAAAATGAGGGAGACTGGGCTACTAAAAGCAAGATAAGACTCTTCACAAGGTCTTTATGGAATCTCAAAGAGTCTTGCAAGCCCTGGGAAGCAAGATTTGTTCCCTTTTCATAGTCAAGCCCCTGTGAATCAACACAATCCTGGGTACCTTGGACGGCTCAGGGAACCCTTACCCATTTCACCTCTGGCTACAATGTGTGCCAAGTGCAGTGGTTTTGTTATCTCATCCTCAACCTGTCCTGGAGCATTTCTCTCTCCAAAGAACAAGCACTTGATCACTGACCTCTAGCCCTGATCTCCAGTGTGGAGGCAGACATTCAAACCCAGTAACAAAAAATACCTAAGTTGATGTCTGCCTTTCACCACCCACCCCCCTTGCCATCCCATCCCCCTCGCCCTCGACTTTGCTTCCACCTTCCCTCAGGTCATGCTGTTAAAGAGGTCAAACATCAAAAATGGCTATCATGAGGGGCTACCCCCCCAAAAAACCCCATCTGGCTACTTGTATCTGCATCTCTGAGAATCTGCACTAGTTCAACAACAACCAAAACATCTTCCCCACTTGAGACAAACTCACTGACTTCCATGAAATTCATCAAGTTGTCTCAATCCTGCTTTTTTAAAATGTTTTTCCGGTAACAGGCAACTGTCACTGCAATTGGCATCTAATGGCAGTTCTCTGAGAACTGTAAACATGAAATGACTGTGCTCCCCTGCACTTTTGCCTCTCTACGTTGAGAGAAGGAAAAGATGGGGCACTTTGAGAAAATTTATACTGCAGTCACTACATAGATAAAGAACTTTAGCCTCCAAGGTTGCCAATCCAGCAGACAAACCCACAAAAATCTTCACCAAATAACAACAACTAACCCACCTACAATTAACTTGATAGGAAAAATTTAGAAGTTTGTTAAAGCTGCATAAACCCAACATCAGCAGTAGGTGTGTACACACTGATATCCTTCTTTAAAAGCAAATGACTCAGAGACAAGTAGCAGACTGGGGAGACCTTGCTCTGTGACACACTTGCTACTCCACCTTGGACAAGTTAATATTAAACTACCACCTCGGTTACCACATCCTTACAAGCAGGGATCACACTCACTTGCCACCACACAAGGATCACAGAAATACAAAGGAATCAGGAATATCACAAGGAATACAGAAAATATGGTCATGTTCAGCAAATGCTGATTTTGACTTCATACCGGATGGGATTGGTCACAAAGTCTGGTTCAGAAGAAACTCCTTTCTAACAAGTCAGGGACTGAAACAAAGAAAATGAGAGGCACAAGATGCAGTGCCAAACGGTATCCTCAAAATCATGACTGTGCAATGAATTCATTAGCAAACCCCTTTTTTTTAGTTCATATTAAAATACTTTTTAAATCCTTCAGTGGTTAAATTGATTCTAATTTTCTAGTAGAGGCCACATAGATCCAGAGAGAAGTGAACAAGAGCGGCTGCTTGCACATGGCATGCCTGAAACGCTGTAGCCATTCCTTCACTCCTCTTCCTGCTTTATCCCCTCTTTAGAGGGGCTTTCCAGCTGACCTGCTCCCAGCCAGCCATCTGGGACAGCAACCACTCCCCACTCACAGTAACATAAAAAATCAGCACCTGTGAAACAATCTGGAAATATTTGCCTTCCAGAGAAATATTTCCAGCTAGCCCCTGGCAGGTGGGAGGGGGAAGAGGGGACTCTCCTGTGTAGCCCCCATTCACAAATCAGTGCCCTGAACCTTGCACCAGTGCACAAGATCCACTGAAGAAGCTGAGGCTTTATAAAAAAGTAAATGTTGAAAAGTGAAGTACTTGAGTTGTTCATAACTACAGCCAGAGCAGCTGCCAAGCAGCAGCCCCAGTGTCAGCTGTCCACAGGGACACTATGGAATCAGTGACAATCAGCTAATGTTCTCTTCCTAATCACCAGCCCATACATATATGCAATACAGCATTTAGGAAGTATTTAAGTTTAAAAAAGTTAAAGTATTTTAGAATAGTTAAAACAACCCATTCCTGTTCCATCCCACAAACGAAGACAAATTTTACCACTTTATTTTCATGAAGGAGAGGATACACATGTATCAAGTTCATTAAAGGAATGATGCATCAAACTACTAAAATATACTGTCACCTCAAAACCTAAACATCAAGTTGCAGGTCTTAGCAACTTTATTTGGACAACTGAAATATTCACATTAAACAACTGTGTAGCATTCATGACATTTTAAGAGAAAAGACAAAGTAGAACCATTCAACTGAGCTGGGAACTGCATCGCGAGAGCTCTTCCAGTGGGACTCTATTCAATGCTCAAAAGGGAAAGTGGAAATGCTGGCAAGCAGAGGTACTCAAAAACAATTAAATCAATGCCTTTGCTTTTTACAAACACATCGTTTAGTCGCTCGAAATGAGTTTCCATTGTACCGCACTACAGCAGCTTGCTGGGGATGCGTGGGGAAGAAGCTGTTAGAGGGCAGTTGTTTCCAGCATGTCTGCAGGGATGGGTCTGTGTAGGACATGCTCAGGATTGCTCCCCTGCCATCCCCACCCGCCCACTCTGAGCAGCTGTGGTGTCTGGAGGGGTGAGGCTATGGAAGTGACTCCCACGCACCCCCTCCCCAGGCTGCACAGAGGCACCCAGGCATCTGCAGGGTAAGCCTGAACCTGAGGAGGGTAATAAACCCTTCCCTGCAGATCACAAGGCTCCTTCTTGGCTCAGACCAATACCACCCAGCTTTGAAAGCTGCACTTTTACTTCCAGGTGAGACTTCCATGACGAAACATCAAGAAGGCCAAAATGCCTCAAGTGTTTTCAAAATTAGTGCCCAAGCTTTGTGCCTGTTCTGGCCACGTTCACCCATGCTGCCAAACACTTGCTGATGCCTAAATGGAATCCAAGACACTCTCGCACAGCACAGGAGTCAATAATTTATGGTCAGAATGGGTTTCTCCCTCCCTTAGACCTCGTGCCAGCTGGTCCTGTCCCGGCATCTTTCAGGAGAACAAAAGTGCTTCCTCCACAAAGGCCATTCCAGGCACCACTGCATTCAGCTGCCCTCCCGTCTCCAGCTCCCCTCGCTCACAATGGCCTCTTTCAAGGCAACCTCAGCCTTGGTGAAGCACGATACTTCCCCAGCTATTGAGATATTACAATTCATTAAACCTGGGATCAGGAGGAAGAGGAGGAGAATGCACAGGGGAGAGGGAACAAAGGAAAAAGTATTTTATCCTAAAGCCACCAGAACAAAACACCAAGAAGGACCCAATCTGCAGTAAAGGGGCAGGGGACCCAGAACTGAGCCTGTCCCTGTGGGGGCAGGTATTGCTTGAAAAGAGGGTACCCGGCTGTGCCCTCCTTTATCCAAGCTCATAAAGGATTATTGCTGCAGGCTCTGGGAAAGGGGCTGCCTGGCGCGGGCAGGGGGAAGAGG